ATGCTTTTGTTTTGAAAGGCAAGCTGCTCACCCGGAAGTTCTTCTTCGACACAGGAAACAATAGTTGGTTTTGGTGACGCTGCATTAGAAGTGCAAGACATGAACCGGTCTAGTAAGTGTACATGGTTACAAAAAAAAACAAACTAATAGGTTTTTGTCTTTTATTTTATCTTTATATTTTAAATATTGTTGTGAAACTGTTGCTGAGTTGGTCGGAACATCGCTTTTTTGTTTGCAACCTGCTGCTTCCTTCTGACGTTAGCTTCGATGTTTCTTAGCTAGCTAGTCGAGCTTAATATTGAATGAACAGGAGTTTTATAAAGATGTCCTATTAATCTCAGTGCTCGGGGGTAATTGTTTGGACTCCTTATGTCCGCAGGGCTGCCCGGGTTGTTCCTCCTCAGTCTGGCTCTGGCTGGAACTCAGTCGCTGACTCCGTCGTACCACCTGTCCCTGTCGGATGTGGGCCGACTTCACAACCTCCTGAGCCGGCCCTTCACCGACCTACAGTCTGCCTACTACAGTGTTGTTGGCCTCACCAAACTAGGAGCTGTTGTTCCCGACCACCAAGTAAAGATTTAGCGTTTTCTGGATTCATGTCGGGAGTATTATACATGAGCATTTTAATTTAAATAAAACAAAACAGAAAAGCAGCAAAGATCACATATAAGGCCATATACTCTAAAATACACAGATAAGGTAAGATGGAGCTTTATTGATCCCGCAGGAAATTGTTGTGCCAGAATTTCAGTACAAAGGAACATGCACAAGGAATCACACAAGATATTAAAAAATAACAGAATATAAAAAAATAACAGAGAAAATAAAAATACCAACAATTAAGGTCTAAACAGGTCAGATGCTGACAGAAACATTAAAGTGTTAAATGTAGTGCAGGATTCATTTTGTTGTCCTATGTGCAGAAAGGGGAAGAATTTGAAAAGTTTGATAGCCACAGGGAGGAAGGACTTACTGTGTTGTTCTGTGGAGCACCTCGGTGGTCTCAGGGTGCATTCACACCAGCCCTGTTTAGTCCGCTTTAATCAAACTCTAGCTTGTTTTCCTAGAAAGTCCATTTCGTTTGGGGAGGTGTGAACGCGCCATCAAACTCTGTCACGGAACAAAAAGGCGAACTCTGGCCCAGGCTAAAACCTAGGTCTTGGTCCGGTAGAAGAGAACTCCAGCGCAGTTCCAGTACAGTGTGAATGTTAACAGACCGGCCCCGCTCCACAAGCAAGAAGTGGAGTACAGCGCAGGACAAACAAACACGCATTTCTCTTACCTTATATGGAGCCGTCAGCTGTCTTGTGTGGAAAAACAATATTCTCCATAATCTTCTGCCTCATCTTCTGCTCATGCTTAGTCCATTTTTGAAAAATGACAAAATACAACTCCTAAAACTGCTAAAACTTGATGCCACTTTGTTTTTGTTTTTATTTCCAGAAGAAGTGTCTTCAGAGGTTTTTGTGTCGTTTCTTTCAGTAGTTCTTGGTGCAGCGCCCCCACAGGCGAGTGGGGGAATAGGTTGGTTCAACAGGTTGGCTTGTCTGCACAGTGCAGTGTGAATGAAAACGCACCAGCTCAAATGTAAACAAAATGTCATGAATATTGGTCCCGAACCGAGTCTACCGGACTATCAGGTGTGAAAACGACCTCAGTCTAAGACTAAAGGTGCTGCGGTAAGAGTCCAGGGTCTCATGCAGGGGGTGTGACGTGTTTTCAGGATCTAGAGCAGTTTCCTCAGCATCCTCTGCTCAGACACCTCTGTCAGAGACTGCAGGTCCAGAGACATAAAGACAAAGACATTATTTATTATCATTATCGTGCAAGAATAAATAAGAGCAGTTTTTTTATACACTTAAAATCATCTAACTGGATGTCAAAATACAAAAAAAGCAAAGAACTCGTATGAATGAAGATGATATTGTTTGCGGTTTACTCCAAATCACTTAAAAAAACATACACGTCACATTTCAAGCATATTATAATAATCTTGCATGTTGCTGTATCTCAAATCCAAATGGACTTCACCACCAACAAAACTAAGCTTATTTACTTCGGTACATGAATCAAACATAAGTATATGGTCATTATGGCTAAACAGTTCAATTTTAGTTTCTTCAAACCACAGGGCACATCTCCAGAAATTAAGGTCTTTGTCTCTGTGCATTTTTTAAAAACTGTATTTTGGCTTTTCTTGTTGTTTCAGAATGTCTTTTTCCTGTCTGAATAGTCCTTCCTCCCTGTGGCTATCAAACTTTTTAACTCTTCCCTTTCTACACATAGGACAATAACCGAAAGTCCCAGGTTCCATCCCCGGTCACTGCACACCTTGTGGTGTCTCTGGGCAGCACAGCTCATCCCCAAAATGTGCACCCCCCCCCCCCCCCCACCTGTTAGTATTTTTTTTTTTTCTATTCTGTTATTTTTATGTTCAGTTATTTTTTAACATCTTGTGTGAATCCTTGTGTTTGTTCCTTTGTAATGAATCTCTGGCACAACAATTTCCTGCAGGATCAGTAAAGTTCTATGTTATAACCTTTCAGCAGGACTTGTTTTACCTCAGATAATGACACTCTTACCAGCTTCAGCAGCGTGTTCAGTCTTTAGTTTTTGTCTTCAGGTTGATGTGCACATTTTCCACCAAAACACTTATCAGGAACACAGAACCCGTCTCCTTCCTGAGCGGTATGATGGCAGGACATTTCCAAGGTGTTTATTCTTGTAATTGTTTTATTAATTTTAGTGTATGTAAACTTGGGACGTTGAGAAGGAATAAAAAAAAAAAAAAAACTTAATTATTTGGACATTTAACAAATAGAAATAATTGTGGGAATCCAAACTGGCCTAAAACAGTAAAGTTTTAGTCCAAATTATTTGTCAGACCATTAGAATACAAAGTTGTCTTTTTATACAGTGTATGTAAAGAAGTGTAAGTCAACTTTACTTTTTCCATCACGTGGAACATGAGGTGGAATAAAATGATGTACACAAGGTCCTAGTTCCACCTAAAAATAACAAAATATAAAGTATAAAAAGAAACTATATACAAGGATCTAAGATATAACAATGTTCAGTCAGGTCATCTGGACGGTTTCTTTTGTTGCTGAGATGTTTTGTCCTTCATCAAAAAGACTTCTTCAATCTGAGGAACCACCAAACAAACTGATTCCCACAACCAGCATACTGAATAGTGGGAAACAAACAGTTTGCTGTATCCTGATGCATGCTCAATAATCCAGGTAGAAAAATCCAAAAAAGTTCAATCTGGTCCTCTGGACATTCAAAAAAAACAAAAACAAAACAAAGCAAAAAAAATTCTAGAAACGTTTCGTCTCTCATCCAGGAGACTTCCTCAGTCTGAGGTGCTGTTTTCAGCTCAGTCTCTTAAATAGCACAGTTTGCTGGTGCTTAGGTGGCCTCAGGAGCCCACCCTCTCCCCCGTCAACTCCTCTGATACAGTCATGCCAAAGTGGTTCAAAGTGGTTTGGTGACTTCTCACATTGAAGAAGTCCTTTGGATGAAGGACGAAACATCAGCAACAAAAGAAACCGTCCAGATGACCTGACTGAACATTGTTGGATTTTTACCTGGATTATTGAGCATGAACTTTGGGGATCTAAGATATTTACTAAATGAACTGTAAACAGTACGCTAATAGATCTAAGATGTACACTAAACACTAATAATGTAAAACAATATGGTGTAACAGCAGCTCGAATTTCATCTGGTTTCAACTAATTAACACCTGCTGCCACAAATGTGTGTTCTTCTCTTTCTCTTATCAAAATCTTCATGAACAACGGGTATGAATTTAGTAAAACACCAGTAAAATAATAGCTGATGATGTCTACAGCTCATTAGCTTGTAGAGTCAGTCTGATTCAGAATGGCCACCTCAGCTAGTCAACCTTAGCAACACTAAACTAGGTATAACTCCGTGGATTTTCCAGATAATGCACAAGAATTTAACGGGACCTTAACAGAAGATTATCCTTAACATACACTGATCACTAACCAATCTTTCTTTAAGTTTGGCATCAAGTCGTCCACATCTTGCTAAGCAAAATATCTCATAAACCAAAGATGACTGCCACATCTTAGTGACCTTAGAAAACACAAGAAAAGCTTAGACACAGTTGGTTTCTTGAGATAAAATTTGGCATGGTACCAGCGAAAAGTCATCCCAGACACATTGCTTGAGCACGGACAGACTTCACATCATGTTTAATGTGGTGAATGAGATCCATGTGAAGAACCACTTCTTTGTTTACCTGTTTACTTACATTTCTGTAAACTTTGAACTTTGTAGCTGATTCTGTTCAGTTCAATATAAGTGTACAACATGTTGAATTGTTTTCATAAAAAATGTGTGTTTTAGGAAGTGTGTCAGTTCCTGAAATCTCAGCTCAACCCCAGTAATATTGAGTCCCTCTTCTTCTCTGCTGAAACCAGTAAAGCCATTTCAGGATGTGAGGTATGAAAACAAGATTTTCCTTCCTACTTTATTTATTTCTACATGCTGTGGAAAATAAGTGAAGGATGCTCGTTTAAAAGTCTCTCACCACTCCAGCAAAATGCAGTATTTTTTTATTTTTCTTAAACATGTCCTAAAATATGTATGACATCACCATGAACATATTTTAGGACGTGCCTGCAAAGAAAACGGTACAGAAAGATTTAGAAACATCAAAAGATTCACTGTAGATGAAGAAGCAAACGTGTAGATGAAGAAACAAACGTGTAGATGAAGAAACAAACATGTAGATGAAGAAACAAACGTAAATGGACTGCATTTGTATAGCGCCTTTCTATCTTATTCAGATACTCCAAGCGCTTTTGTAGATGAAGATTTGAGATGTAGATGAAGAAACAAACATGCAGATGAAGAAACAAACATGCAGATGAAGAAACAAACATTTAGATGAAGATATCCAGCTCTGGAAAAAATTAAGAGATCACTACTGATTTTTTTTAAATCAGCATCTCTACTTTCATTCAACCTTTATTTAGACAGGTTAATCCCATTGAGCCTCGGGGACTCTTACAAGAGAGCCCTGATTTAACAAAGAATGACGACAACAATGGACAACAACGACAACAATATACAATCATAAAAGAGGCGTACAGATTTTCTTTATTTTTTGTTGTTGTTTGTTTTACAAGTTAAAATAATATGGCAAAAAAAGTAGCAAAAACGGCTAGATTATAAGGTGAATGTAGAAAACTAAAAACAGGAACATGTCTGCATTGGTTCTTGCCAGGAATTTAACTGATGTTTAAAGCCACTTAGAGAGGTCAAGGTCGAGAGCTTCAGATCTTTTTGCAAGATATTCCAGGAAATAGGAGCGGAGTAGGAGAAGGCCCTTTCCCCTAGTTCAGTCCTCACTGAGGGGACACTGCAGGTAATAATGTCCTGAGAGCGCACACTAGTACGTGAATGACAGCCGCTTCATTCCAGAGTCGGCTGAATGCCAACATTTCATTAATGCCACACTCATTAATGTTGTATTAATGTATTAATAATTAATATTATTAATTAATGAGGTTCTAATTCGATGATCACCTACAGCAAGTCTTAGAGAACAAGAACAAGTCTAGGAACCATCGCTGTGATTGTCATGAACTTCTACAGCAGAGTGACAAGAACTAGTAAACAATAACTACTCATCATCTGTATGTGTGAGACAGTCTGTCAGTCAGTTTGTAAGTTAGTCAGTCAGTTAATCAGTTAGTTAGTCAGTTTGCTTTATGTTGCTTCAAAGTACAACAACAAAGTCCATGCTCAATAATCCAGATATACAATCCAACGTTTTTCAGAAAAGTGTTGGATTGGATTATTGAGCATGGACTTTGTTGTTTTCAACCAGTTTGACAAGACTGTCAACAAGGAAGAGGGCCGGCAATGGAGGAGGGTGCGTACCAAAGAGACCATCTTATCACAAGCAGAACTGGTTTGTTCCACTTTGGAGTAAGCTGTTGGGGGAAGAATCAGTTTTGTTGTGTGTTTCCTTGACTGATGAAGCCTTCCGGACCGAAGGCGAAATGTTTCAGCACAAAAAAAAAAAAAAAACTGTCCAGATGACCTGACTGAAAAAGGTTGGCTTCAAAATATAGTTTCCTGAAATGATTGGACTGGCAGGTGCGGCAGCCACAGATTAATCTTAGGTGGTGAAGGCCACCATTGGCTGCTCGCTGGCTCCTCCATTGCACCTGGCGGTTAGTCAGTTTGCTCCCTCCGCTCGTTAGGATCTGTTACTCTGTGCCACCTCAAACAAAGTAAGATAACTACCTCTCTTATTCAGTGTACTACACCAGGTTTGCTCGTTCAGTTCCAGTCCAAAAAAACACTACTCAAAAAGTACCAACATTCAGTACTCAGCTCCTTCAGGGATGGGGACAGCAGCTTGTTTTTATGTTAGAGGAATATGATAATGCAGACTGTAATGAGCCAAAGTCTTCATGGGAGTTTTGTGTGTTCGTCAGATCCCTGTGTCCAATGAAACCCGGGACATCCTTCTGGCAGCAGTCAGTGAGGATTCATCCATGGCCCTGATCCATCAGGCTGTGGGGGCTCTTAGCTCTCTGGGGCTCCCTCTTGCTTCTCAGGAAGTCGTCAGTGCCCTTACAGCTCGCATCAACAAGGAGGAGAACGTCATGGCGTAAGTGTGAAGCATTCTGTGCAGCTGGTCCTGTAGTTTGACGAGTGCAGTTTGAAACAAGTGTGTTCTGGTTTTGGACAGGACCATCTTGGCTCTGCAGACTGCATCTCGTCTATCCCAGCAGGCAGAACTGGGTAGGATTCTAGAGGAAATTGAGGTGAGCTAAACAACATCCACCAGGTGGTGCTGTGTCACTGAGCTTGATTTGCAGATCAAGTTAGAAATCACATTTCCCTCTTCAGGATCTTACGGCTCGCTTGGATGATCTTGGTGGCATTTATCTGCAGTTTGAAGAAGGACTCGAGGCAACCGCTCTGTTTGTGACGGCTGCTTATGCCTTATCGGATCATGTGGATATAGAGCCCCCACTAAAGGAGGTAAGGAGTGCAGGCATTTCTGTGTCTGAAAGCTATAGAATATATATTCTCTGTGGGTGGGGCTTATCATTTTTAATGTACCTTTATGCAGACATGAGCAACTCTGAAATCATTTAAAACATTTAGCACATTAAATATAAACTATTGTTAAATGTTCATGTCATGAGAAAGACAGAAGTGCAGCATTCACATTTTCTAGTGATCACACAACAGAGACGTGACCAAGAACTCCCAAGTTTCACCTTCTGCACTGACAGCCAGTGTTGAAGCATGTTGGTCTCTACCAAGTTAAAATGATAATCACAAAATATGCACAGTATAAAAGATGTGTACTTTTGCCTCCTGGAAGAAGAGAAAACCTTCCTGTTGTTGCTGCCCTTTCTAAGCATCTGGGTTGAAACTACAGGTGACTAGTTGGTGAACTGCATGTGTGAGGGGGTCCCCAGAATGATTGAAACTTTTTTATTCTCACTAATTATATTAAAAAAAAATACTGGTTCAGATATGAACATCTTTATTTTTAAATTGTACTAAAATAAGTTAAGTCATAAAGTTGGGGCAGCTGCAGGTACAAAATAGGCTGAGGCATGTACAAGGTGGGCAACAAATAATGTGCACAGTCTAGACGACAATCTTTCAAGCTGTGAACATGGAAATTGGCCGGGGGCGTTCAAAAACTGGCCACGCATAACGTGTCTGCACGGCTCTGTCACTTTGTCACACTCACTCAGCGAGACAACTGATTTGTGTCAACAATATGTAGTCGTAAACTTAAAGGTAAATGGACAGAACTTACCGTTTTTTCTGACATATAAGTCACAGTTTTTTGCATAGATTTGTCAGTCCTGCAACTTATACACCTTTTTTTCATATTCATAACAATTTTTGACTGACGCTTTAAATTTCTAAGAACTGCAACATGTGTCATGTCGTCACTTTTTCAAAGCTGCATGTTTCAGTTTTTATCTTTGTGAAGATCCCGCACTTTGGAGGACTTGGGTTGAACAGTTTTCGCTGCGTCGGTCATTTGTAAAATGTATTTAATTTCCTTTGAAAACACCGCCTCTGCTCTGCTTCCGCCTCCCCTTCACTCTGTTCAACTCTTGCTGCAGAGTTGGGTTTTTTTTTTTCAAACTTTATTCAGTATTGACAATGAACTGCAGGTGAACATAACGGCTCCGCAGCACCGTGAAAGACGCATAATCGCGCGACACAACGAATCGATAATGAAATTCGTTGCAAACGCTTTTAATCATCGATTTTTATCGGTTTTATCAATTTGTTGTTGCAGCCCTAGACTGATGCGACTTGTACTCCAGAAAATACGGTATATAACTCCTTTCTATCTAATGAAGACACTTAAAGCTCTTTACAACACAATCTGTGCCTCATTTACCTCCAACACACACATTCAAACAGCACTCTACTACAAAGAATAATCAGAGCTTTATCACATTCATACACTGATGGGACACATCAGAGACAATGAGGGGTTCAGTGTCTTGCCCAGGGACACTTCAACATGTGACTGCTGGTGGAATTGAACCCCCAACTCTCTCTGGAGGACAACCACTCTAACCATTAAGCCACAGCTGCCCCATCTAGTTTCAGTGAGATATTATGTTGCACTCGGCTGGAGCCACCATGGCAGAACATAATCATCCTGTGTTGAACGCTCTAAACCAAAGACACAGACAGCAGGTAAAATAGATACATAGAAGAGGTGGGGAGCAGTGGAGCAGAGGTTAGAGAAAGTGAGCCTATGATCAGAAGGTCGTTGGTTCAAATCACCCTGACAATAACCCCGAAATGTGGATGGGAAAAATGAAGCACCCACACCAGCAAGGCCCTTACCCCCCCCCCCCCCCCCCCCCCCCCCCCCCCCCCCCCCCCCCCCCCCAATATCTCTTCTTCCCTCATGGGCTGGGGTAGCTCGGTGGTCATGGTTGTGTCAGGAAGGACATCCAGCGTAGATAAAAGAACTGATGAAGAGTAAATAACATGGATGTGTGGACATTATTGCTGCTACGCTCATGTCTCTGTGCTAAGATTTGACTTCTGCTGCTTTTTTGTTTCTTTCAGTTCATAATTTGTATTTTTTTTTCTTGTTGATTCATTGATGATCATTGATGAATTGAGGCGCTCTGAATCCTAATGGAATAACTTGTGAGGTGCCTGAAGAAGCTCACATCTTGTCCCCACAGGACCAGGTCATCCAGCTGGTCAATTCCGTCTTCAGCAAGAAGTCCTGGGACTCTCTGGCTGAGGCCTTCAGTGTAGCAGGTGCTGCTGCTGCTCTGTCCAGCAACCGCTTCCACATACCAGTCATGGTGAGCGCTCTGGGCCCAGCCACAGTGTCCCACAGCCAGCCCACTCTGCAGGTACGCTCTACATGCTGCTGCTCTCCATATGGTTTGTAATGTCGTCACTAACACTGCCTGCATGTGCGCTTCACAGCTCCTCATTACAGATGTCATGTCTCAGCCTCTGACCTCGGCCAACGTGCACGTGGAGTCTGCTTACGCTGTGGCTTCGAAGAGTGCCGTCCTCAGCCAAACACCTTTCACCCTTAATGAGTACGTATAATTCCAGAAGGATGCATGAATCCCAGTTTAAGAAGAAAGTAGAGGCATATTCAGGGTTCAAATCTTTCCCAGTGTGAGATGAATGTTACTGAAGAAGATGCTCATGCACATTGTTGTTGTTCTCACTGTGTTCCCTGCTTTCAGTGGTGTCTTTGAACTGAACTTCATGTCCGACCAGCCAGCCAGTGGATACTACCAGTTCACGGTAGCTGTGACTGGGGACAGTCGACTGGTGGCCAATCATGTTGAGGCAAGTTTCCACCATGTTCATATTTGTGATGGTCACCCAGTCAGTTTGACTTTACTGAACAGATCGTGCTGCAGGTTCTGCTCTGCTGATAAAAACACATCTGGTGACCAAAACTAAATGAGCTGGAGGTTTCTGAGGACGTGATTCTGTTAAATAAAATGAATAAAACGAAGCCTTACATTTAGGTTGATGGAGCTTGACAAAACTAAGAAAAAACCCTGCAAATTGGAAATGTCTACTTTTAAATTACTTACAAACAAAAGCAGCTGTGACTTTTCTGAGAGAAACGAAAGTTACGTATGCAACTACGGTTCTATGAATCCCGGATGACCGCCAGAGGGCGGTGCTGAAAGCACTGAATGTTCCCTTCGCGCATGCGCTGTTCGAGTAATAATACCAACGGAGTCACAGGTGTGACACGGATGACCAATCAGAGGCTATATAGCCCAACGTCATCCGCAGCTCTGCTCTTACAGAATTTTCTCACGGAATGCAATGATTCATAGTGACAGAGAAGCTCTGGCGGTCATCTGGGATTCATTGAACCGTAATTACATACGTAACTTTCGTTCTATTTCATCCCTCCTGACCACCAGAGGGCGGTACTGAAAGCACTGAATGACAAACGCTGTAAATGGACTGTACTTATATAGCGCCTTTCTATCTTATTGAGATACTCAAAGCGCTTTACACTACAATCTGTGCCTCATTTACCCATTCATACAGCACTCTACTAGATCGCTACAAAGCTAATTGAACAAATCATTCTAAAGAGACTAATCAGTGCTTTAGATCACATTCATACACCGATGGCACACACATCGGAGGCAACAAGGGTTTCAGTGTCTTGCCCAGGGACACTTGGGCATGTGACTGCTGTGGGGTTTGAACCCCCAACTCTTGCAAGGAATCCTAAGCACACACCTCACTGAGGAGGCCCAGAGGACCCTTGTAGAAGAACCTGGCCCAGGGGATGAGGGGTGGCCACGTTAACTCTGTAAAATCTGGTGAATGTGCTTGGGGAAGCCCATGATGCACCAGCACATATTGCTTCCAGTGGAAACCCTCTCAGGGCAGCCCAGGAAGCGGAGACGCTCCTGGTAGCGTGCCTTCACGCCGACCGGCAGGTGGCCGTGCCCTGCAGTATAGGCGTGACAGATGACATTCACGATCCAGTGGGAGAGGCACTGTTTGGAAAGAGGACAGCCTAATCTAGGGCCTCCATAACACACAAACAGCTGGTCTGAATGCCGTATCACGGCAGTAGCAGCAACGTATGCCTCGAGTGCCCTCATCAGGCACAGTAATCCAGACCCCTCACCAGGCATAGGCTGAAAACGTGCCAGCATCAACGGTTGGTTACAGTGAGAGTGAGATGACACCTTTAGTACAAATGCAGTGTTTGGCCACAAGGTAACACAAGAGCCCCACCTGAGACATGAGGGGCTGACTGAGAGAGCATGTAGCTCGCTGACCCTCTTTGCTGAGGCAATAGCCAACAAAAAAGCCATCATACAAGAAAGCCACTTGAGGTCTGCCTGCGTCAGAGGCTCGAAAGGAGGGTGGCACAGAGCTTGGAGAACCAAGGGCAGGTCCCAACCTGGTGCTCATGGAGCTGTTGGCAGGTGCGATCTATGGGCACCACGCAGAAAAAGAGAGACTAGATTATGGCTCCCTACCGTACAGCCATCAATGCCAGCGTGATTAGATGATATTGCTGCTACATAAACTTTAAGCGTCGAAGGAGAGCGACCCTTACCAAGGAGAGACTGGAGAAAGTCCAGAATGGTGGGTACTGTACAGGAGACTGGATCCTCGTTGTGATCAGAACACAATTGGGAAAACAAGACGCCACCTGTTTTCGTACTGCTGACGAGTAGAAGGTGCTCTGGCGCCAAGGATGGTGCATCTGACGGGGTTCGAAACTCCAGTCAGCTGCTGTCCTAGCCTTGCAGTGGCCACAGCCGAAGACATTAAGGATTGGTGTGCCATATCAGTCCCCCCAACTGAGACAGCAAGTCCCTCCTGGTCGGAAGACACCATGGGACGCCCTGACATAGACTTCGTAGCAGTGGGAACCATGGTTGCGCTGGCCAATATGGAGCCACCAGCAGCATCCTGTGGTCCTCCTCGAGGACTCTCTGAAGGGTTGGCCAAATTAGAGAAAGGGGTGGAAAGGCATACCATACCATACCAATTTATTTATAGAGCACTTAAAACAGCAACAAGGCCAACCAAAGTGCTGTACAAAAGAAAACAAACATGCACAGCGGACAGGAAAACATAAAATAGAAATACAGATACAAATAGCAGCAGAAGCTAACTAAAATGGCCAACAGAGTAGAGAACAGACCAGACCAAAACAAATCACAACGTGTTGAAGGCAAGAGAATAGAAGTGGGTCTTCAAGCGAGACTTAAAGACTGAGAGTGTGGGAGCCTGCTGGACACTCGGTGGCAACTCATTCCACAGTCGTGGACCTGCAACAGAGAAAGCCCTGTCACCTCTGAGCTTACCATGGGTTTCTGGGACTGAGAGAAGCATCTGGTCTGCTGACCTCGGAGAGCGCGGTGGGACATATGGCTGCAGAAGATCAGTGAGATAGGATGGGGCGGAACTGTTCAGTGATTTAAAAACATACATGAGAATTTTGAATATAGGCAATTTTGAATATAGCCTATGCCTATAAGCATAGGCTCCTGGCATATAGGAGGACCCTTGGCCAAGGATGAGCCAATGCGTTCTGGCCCAGCGCACCCGAGGCCCCCCCGTAAGAGAGTACCATAGGGGACACCGAGTCGACTCTTGTGTCGCAAACAGGTCTATCTCTGCCTGACCAAAACGGTCCCAGATCATCAGCACTATGCCGCTGTGGAGGGACCACTCTCCCGGAGCGGACCCTTGGCGGGAAAGAAAATCTGCGACCTGATTGTGTCGCCCTGGTAAGTACGCTGCACATAGGGTGGACAGGCGAGGAGAGGCCCATTCCATAAGCTCTCAGAGGACACTCTCAGAAGTTGTGCTGACCTGGTGCCCCCCTGATGGTTGATGTGGTAGACATCACTTCCAGGTGAGGCAGGAAGTGCCTGAGTGCTAAGTGCACTGCACGCAGCTCCAGCACATTTATATGCCTGGAGCGGTCCTTTTGACCCCAGCAGCCCTGAACCACTCTGCATTGCCACACAGCACCCCATCCCATAGAGCTGGCATCCATCATGACCACTTCCCTGCGACACACTCCCACTCCCATGGGGACACCCCTGAACAAATAATCTTCGTCCCTCCATGGAGTCAGGACATGAAGACATGACCACGTCACTGCGAGCTTGCGATGCCTGTGCAGCCTGGCATCTAGGCGAAAGCTGTTGATCTACCTCTGCAAGGGGCGAAGTGACAGCAGGCCTAAGGGCACCACCCGAGTGACTGACGGCAGTTTGCCGAGTAGTTGCAGGAAGGCAACATAGGGGAGGTGCCTGCCCAGCTTGAACCGACTGACTAGCTGGAGTATGCCGGCCACCCTTTGAGCGGATGGGTGAGCTCTTATGGAAGATGAATCCAGAACCACCCCAAGAAAGGTGATTGTCTGGGAAGGGGTCAGGCAGCTCTTCTCCAAGTTGACATTGAGGCCCAACTGAGACACATGAGTGAGCAGGCGGTTTGTGTCGTGAAAGGAACAGGCCTGAGACGGGGCGCAGAGAAGCCAATCGTCTAAGTACGGCAGAACCTTCACTCCACAGGCCTGCAGAGGAGAGAGGGCTGCCTTCACGCACCGAGTGAACACCCTCGGGGAGAGAGAGAGCCCGAATGGTAGTAAAAAAAAAAAGAATGCAACTATTGCACGGGAGGCGAGGTTGTTAAAAAAACAAAAAAGTATAATATCGACATGGACAAGAAATTGACACGTTTGGATAAAAGTACAAGAAGAATCACAACCTAAAATTAAAGCTGCAAGCAGCGTTGAAGGCCCTCGAAGCGAAGCGCCGCTGCGGCCTTACGGCGACCGCGAGAACTCCAGCGACTCTTCCCGGTCGCCATCGAGAATGCTCACGCTACCGTTCTCCAGAGTGCGCATGCGCCGAACCTTTGACATAAGCTGCGACCGCATATATAACTATTGTAATAATGTAGGGGGCGCACTTGAGTCAAATATTAAACAAGAACACCAAAGTGTCCATAAGTCCTCAGTAATCAAGCACCAAAAATCTGGTGCAGATCCGACGATATATCACTGAGACATAACAGTTTGTTTTATCTAGGGGGCACACTTGAGTCAAATATAAACAACATTACCACTGTGTCCATAAGTCCTCAATAGTCAAGCACCAAAAATCTGGTGCAGATCGGACGATATATCACTGAGATTTAACAGTTTGAATAATGTAGGGGGTGCACTTGAGTCAAATTTTAAGCAACAACACCACTATGTCCATAAGTCCTCACTAGTCAAGCACGAAAAATCTGATGCAGATCGGACAATATTTCACTGAGATATAACAGTTTGAATAATCTAGGGGGCGCACTTGAGTCAAATTTTAAACCACAATTAAAGCTGCAAGCAGCGTTGAAGGCCCTCGCAGCGAAGCGCCGCTGCGACCTTACGGCGACCGCGAGAACTCCAGCGACTCTTCCCGGTCGCCATCGAGAATGCTCAAGCTACCGTTCTCCGGAGTGCGCATGCGCCGAACCTTTGACATAAGCTGCGACCGCATATATAACTATTGTAATAATGTAGGGGGCGCACTTGAGTCAAATATTAAACAAGAAGACCAAAGTGTCCATAAGTCCTCAGTAATCAAGCACCAAAAATCTGGTGCAGATCCGACGATATATCACTGAGACATAACAGTTTGTTTTATCTAGGGGGCACACTTGAGTCAAATATAAACAACAATACCACTGTGTCCATAAGTCCTCAATAGTCAAGCACCAAAAATCTGGTGCAGATCGGACGATATATCACTGAGATTTAACAGTTTGAATAATGTAGGGGTGCACTTGAG